TCATAGTTATCCTGATACACAATAGCTTCCACTCCCTCCTGCTTACTGCCCATGCTGCGTGCATTGGTGTAGATACACTTCAGTTGGGCTAAAGGCCCTGCCACCTTTTCACAGGGAGAAGTCCTAATTTCTGCCAGGCCATTTTCAGGGACTTCCATGGTTACTAACCCATCAGTAACCCTTGCATCTTGGTTGCTATACGGAACTGTAAATCCCAGGCAAAGCAAAACCAGCCTCCCAGAAATGCATTTCAAAATTCTGTATTAAAAATCCTCCAAAGAACTGCAAAAAAACTGAGCTAAAAATCCTCCAAACAGCTTAGCTTCAGAAGTCTGAGTGAATTTCACTTCAGGGTGTACCACTGCTTATACATTAGGCAATTTCACTATCTATAAGGACAGTTAGAGGCTTTATCTTCCATCCTGCACTATCTCCCACAATGCAAAATTCATGGTGGTTGTGCTACAGATTCTGCTGTGACCTATAATCTCAGGAACCATTTAGGCACCTGAGAAGAGACACGTTACATGTCTCACAGGGTAATATAAGAAGTGATCTAAGGGATATCACAAATTAAGAGAAGAGAGAGATAAGAACTTTCAACCTCAATGGCCTGATCTCTTCTTAACAAGTAGTAAAGGACAAGGAGCACAGGAATCTCAGCTTACTAAGAAAAAAAAAAGGAAATAAATGTCATTGTTTAACTAGTGCAATCACAAGAAAAGGACCAGGAAAATCTAAATTCTCAGATTTTAGAAATTAAATGTTTAAAATCTTCTAAAACCTCATGACAGTCCTACACTGACGAAATGGAAGCTCATTCTTACCTGAATATTGTAGGTGCCCGATTTTGCCTTAAAACAAAATGCTCCATGAGGGTCAGTTTCTGTTGTAACTAGTGATGCTTTGTCCTTGTCTTGAGGCATCATGGTTACCTTGTATTTACTAATCTGTTTGACTGTGTCAGGAAAACGAGTTACTGCGATCTGCCCACACACACTGAATCTGTTAAATAAAAGCCAGACATCAGAATAAATACCTTGATTTGACAAAGCTCATTAAAAAATACTTGTTTCAAAACTTCCTTAAAAAGCAAACCACACTACGTTCAGGTACTAACACATGAATTGGAATTGATTTCTCCTGAAAGAGAGTTCATATAACAGAAATACTATACGCAAACAGCGGAGCAAGTGCAAACTCACATACAATTAATGGGATCTTTTCTTTTACAATGAAGTTAACATGATGTTATGTTTTATCACCTTCAACGACACAACTTATTTAGTGACTGAAAGAACTGTAACTGATCATTTAACAGCACACAGGTTTTTATAATCAGCTAACTAAGTCTGCATGAGCTAGTTGCCATTTGCCTCATTAAATTCCTAGTTTTCACTTCTCTGGAAGGCTGATGTTATTTTCTCCTCCAGGAGAAGCTCCTGGACAGAGAGCCATGCCCCTTTTGTCTTCCTCAGCTCACACTGTATCCCCTACCACTGTCTTACACCCCCAAAATCATGCTGTTACCATTATACAGGTTTATGCCCAGCAGTCAAAGAAACACAAGAAAAAGGCAATTTGTATGTGTACACATATACACATCTATAGATATGTAAAAGACAACTATGAACTTAGAGAGTTATGAGTAATAAAATGTAGAGGTTCAGTAGAACACTGGACTAGAGAGTTATGTAACTCCACACTCCTGAAGTGCAGCATCAGCAGCAAAAGCCTCTCTGTTCCTTTCTTGGTTCACATATAGTGCTAAAATTGCTCATTAGTTAGTGCTCTAAGCCTTAACTAGTATTGAGCAAAATACTGTGGAGAAAACATTACCCTGCACTCATGCTGTTCTGTTTACCTTTAATTTAACAGCACACAAGTCTGGGCATGACATGTAAAAGGACCACCCAATGTCAATACCTTGTCCACATACTAAATTACATTTTCATAATGACACCAATACTTACCCTGTTGCAATGATGTTTGCTAGCTGAGGTGTATTTGGTGCAATCTTCACGGTAATAGTATCAAAGAAGAGATGCTCTTTCCTGGCATGAATTGTGTATGTACCTGTTGTTATGTTCTCAAGGCGGAAAGAGCCATCAGCTTTTGTTTTTACTGTAACAAATAAAGAGATGAGTTAAAAAAAACAGAGCATGTCTTGACTGTCTATCCTCGTGTGTCTAAATAGAGTCAGAGGGCATGCAGTGCTTTAGGCTATTTTTACATTGCACAACAAAAAAACAGTATCATGCTTTCTTACTAGACCAACCTTTATTTCTGTACTTCAAAGCACGATTTGGCATATAGTTGAAAGAAAATAAAAGAAACTTTCTACAGCAAAACAAATGAACCTCTAATACTCTCATTTTGCCAGAAAACGCAAAATTGATCAACTGCATGAAAACCAGTTTAATATTTCAAATGAACTGCAACAGTAGTAGTGTATTATTCTGAAGGCTTAATTCCATCTCATACAGTAGTCCTGTACTTAAGCTTAATACAGACTTCCGTGTAGCAAGAGAGACCAAAACCACTGCATACCTTTAATCTGATTGTTCAGAGTCACAGTGGCATCAGCAACTCCTTCTCCTTCAGGACCATTCAATACCCTGCCTGTGACAGAGAAACCCATCACATGGAAAACAGGCTGAAATATGAAAAACGTTAACATTAATCTTCACTCAGTAAAAGCAAACGCTCACTTATAGCAATCAACTCTGACTGGTTTCCCCACACACACATATAAAGGAAATCTATTTCCAGCTTTAGGGAAAAAAAATACCAGGATAATCACAATGAAAGTACATATCAATCTCCAAGCATACTGTTCCCCTAAGTAGAGGAACAGATTCTCAATTTATCTGCATCAGTACAGTTCAGAAGGCCCAAGTCACAGATCATAATGCCATTGCACAAGGCACTCTGCAAACCATACAAGCTTACAGGCTCTTCTCCAGAGATCTGACAATCTGAATGAGTAAATTTAAGCAATCTGAAAGATTATTGCCTGTTTGCAATATGCACATGAAAATAACACTGTAAAGAGCTTTTCCCTATTTCGTTCTTTCTTGTAAAAGGAACTAAAGCGTAGAAATACAGCACAATGGCAGATAGTGGCTTCTTGCATCTGCTGTGCAAGACAGTATAAGTAACAAATGTCTTCAAACTTCCTACAAGGAAGTTTTTCCATAATACACCTGCTTTCTGCTACAATCAGTTCTACTTTTACAGGAATGAATGGCACAAAGAGATTATTCCCTCTGAATGCCGTACCTCAATTTGTAAACTGTCATGCTCTACAAGGAAGTCCAGTCTAGACGGAGCAACATCAAAGGTAATTCTCTCTCCCCTGTAGAACGGTATCTGAAAGAAGACACATCGTTTTAACTCTTAAGAAGCTATGATGACAGAACTGCTTTCCCTTATCACTTTCTATGTCCTTATCACCATCAGACATCTCTATGAAGGGTCGAATGGGCTGCAAACTTCCTGGAAAAAGTAACTCAGAGGGATGGAAACAAGAATAACGACAATATTTCAAGACTGTTTGAGGGAAACCATATGAGATTATCTGAAGAGACAGAAAAGTAACCCTCTACTCAGAATACAGCAAAGGTACTTGGATGTGCAAGAGCTTACACATAGGAAACTACATGATCACTAGAAGGGCTAGAGGAATGAGAGAACTTTGAATCCCACTTCTAGATGGTGCAGACTGAGAATGCAGAACAATTATTCTAGGCAGAGGACATAAGGTGGCTGTAGTCAACTGAAACTTTCAGTCTCCCAGCAGCCTCTAGGTGTGGTTCTGTGACTATCCAATGTATCCAGGTAATTCAGAGCCTAATTTGCAAATAAGTCCTTCCTCAGAAACCACACCAGAGTCCTACCACAGCAACTTACCTTAATGTCATATACTTTGGGTTGGAGGTTCCTATGCCAACTATTTCATAAAATTCAAAACATTTCAACTATTTCTATTTTAACAGGTACAAAGTTATGCATGATTTAATTTAGAAAATGAAAGTTAACAACCCAATGGATAAACAAGCAATGAACTTTCTAGCTACTTACCACGGTGTATTTCCCACTAGGCAGAGAAAGAAAGCTGAAAGATCCATCTTCTTTTGATACAACATTGCACAAATAGGATAGAGACTCATCTCTTGACTGGAATCCATCCACAGGAGAAGTATTGCAGCCTACAACATCCTGTGACAATAAATGCAATACAATTTTTTTCCCATGAGAAAACAGAGAAAATAATTTGGGGATAGGGGGATGATGTAAAAGGGTTCAAAATACTAGACTGCAAATGAAGGATGGGAAGTACAAAACAATTTTGGAGGCAAAGTTGATGGTATGGTTTATAATTCACATATAGGTAAAAGAGGAAAAAAAAACAATAATCAACTTTATGGTAACAAGGATGGAAAACTGGGAAATTCAACATCCCCCAGTACCCCTGAACTGCACTGCTTGTGTTAACATTAACTGACTTCAGTTCTGTGGAAAAGGTTAACATTACAGAACAGACCTCTACTCTACATAATAAATCACAGTACATGACCAAATGTTTCACACTTATTTCATAACACACTTTTAAGGTGCCAATAGAAGCTGTTGAACTTTGTCTTCCCATCAACAGGGCAAAGAGCTATTAAGACTTCACAATGAAGACAAATTACAGCTACTGTATAGTGAATTTCAGGATTTGTCTGGCAATATCTTGATCTTTATCAGATCAGTAACATGCTGTGAACTATATTATATTCTGCGCTTGTTGCTTGCTTCATTTGAAGTCTTAGTCTTCTATGTCCCTAAAGTGCCTGATTGTTGAGGAACCTGGTTGTTTGAAAACAATAATGAAGAGTTCAAAAGAGCTGAAACTAAAATAATTTTCTGATTTCTAGTGTCCACAACATACCTTAGGCTACAATTCTGCTAACATGTAAACAGATAGCTATAGTGTTACACATCAGAGTGATTCCATGGAGGTCATGTGAAAACTCAGCATGAACACCAATGTTGTAATACAAGGGCCTTGTTGGAGGAAAAAAACCCAACAAAACAACAAAAAAACCCAAAGAAAATATATGGCTTGAAGGGTAGTACAGTTTATGCTTTCCATAAGTCAAGCTCAACGAAGAACAGAGATGAGTAACATGGCAATATGAATCTAGAAGCTATTTAGCTGCTTATTATTTATTTCCATACTCATACTGAAAAGATACTGATACACTATTACCTCTTTAGTGACCGAAGAAGAGAAAAGGAGAAACATGACCCCTTTCATTGGTTCTCCGTCACTCCTTACTGACCCAGAAACATTGTAGCCGGCAACAATCAGAGGGCTAGCAGCATAAGCATTAGAACTCGTCACCCGTACCACCGTGTTTGACTGAAATACAAAAACACATACGTTTTCATCAGAAGTAGGCATTAGATCTCACTTATAGCACCTTTAACAATCAGAAGCCATATAATCAACAACAGAAAGATGCCAGAGCAGCAGTACTCAAAGAGGTTCCACAGGCTATTCAAAACACAAAGACGCTAAAGCAAAGATGCTCTGCAAAATGGTATTTTTCCTGCTTCAGTAATTTAGGCATTTGTCAGCATCTCAGAGCTCCTCAGAAAGCAAGCAGTCTGAGGGGAAAGGATTAGAGCATCTGCTATAACAGTCAAGCTCCGGCAAAACATACAGGATTAGATGACTGAATGCAAGAGCTCATTTGCCAGTCATTCCCTGGCTGGCTCCACTATCTCCAAACTGGGCCTCCATGAGGCAGTTTCTTGACTACCTAAATCAGATTTATGAAAACTCCATTAATCTTGTCCACTCACAAAAACCCTTCCTCACACCAGTTGAAGACGACAAGGTCTAGCAGATTTACCCTCACTAAACAGGTAAACCAGAACTTTTTTAGGCTCTAACCTCTTTCAACATCCAGGTAGGGTGAGACGCAAAGATTTCATATTCGCCAGGAAGCACTTTAAAAAAGGCAAACCTGAAAGGCAAGAAAGGGGTTATATCTCTTCAGAAAAAGTCACAAACATTTGTTTACAGAAAAACAATTCAGATTCTATACACACATTAGAAAAAAATCTTTCAGAATGGCTACAATCCCAGTGAATACGGCAGAACTGAAAGAATCTTGTGTAAATGAACAGTACGCACCACCCACACTCACTTTCCTCCAGGTTGTGTAATAGTTGCTTGTATGTTTATGTCACTGCCAGCATTTCTCAGTACAACCTGGACTCCAGCAGGACCCGATGTCTGACCTTTGCTGAGAACCTGTCAAAATGAAGAGAAAACAGAGTCTAAACATAGTCTATTGATAAAAATAACATGAAGAGCTGAAGTAGAATGTATTCATGAAGGTAGAATTAGCATAAGATGGAATAAATAAAGATAAAGGAGCCTAACCTTTCCGTTCACAGAAAACCCTGTGAACACAAAGTTAATATCACCTCCCTTTGTGCAAATGTCATTAATGCCATCCACATGGATGTCTACACTGGTTGGTTCTGGAGAGGAAGAACAATAAAACAGCATGGTAGTTAGCGAGAGAGCAATCATGAAACAACTCTACTTTAGCTTTACAAAACTCTCACAGAAATTCATTAACTCAAGCACTCAAGTGTTGCTCTGGAGTCTTGCCTCAGCAAAGTTAAAGCACCCACAAATCCCAATGCTGAAAAACCTCTTTCCTGCTCCCATTGCAGCTATTTCTGTCAAAAACCCACATTCCTTCAAATCACTTCATGGGTTACTTTGTCAATGTCTACCTTATGGCTTCACTTTCCTCTGGTACAGTAATTCATTTTAGTCATTAAAACCACACAGTAGGGCTTAACTCTTTTGAAAAGTGCTTGATTTTCTCTGCCAACTGCAAGTTAGAGATAGTAAAGTGCCACACTGCAGATACACTGTCCTATTGTAAGAAGACAAATGAACACTTACCAAAACTCCACCCTAGGGGAGGCTCAATTTTAAGAATGAAATCCCCCTAAAAATAAAAAAGCAATAACTGTCTTCACTGATCTAAATTCAATTTAGCTAAAGGATGAAAAAGTCAGAACACAAGCATGATGCTGCAGAGAGTAACACAAGACTCAAGTGCCCCATTCTCCTTTCCTCCTGCCTCAGATGCTCTGTTCAGCATCCATCAGCAGCAATATCTACCCAGACAGGCTGGGATGCTGGGCTCACATCAAGCCAGCTAAGAGCACAAATTAAGTATCATCATGTTTATACTGCTTCCAGACCAAACCTGGCTCATGTTCAAGCAGCTCAGTGTTAGAAAGTGTTCAAATCTATCTCTATATGCCCCAACAGATGTGCTCTGCATCAGCCTTTAGTATTTTCACTAGGAGGTACTACTCAACCATTCTGTCCAAACACGAGATAACAAAACTTCAATCCTATTAAAAGCTCTACACCGAAAGGGTATTAATCTATAGAGAGATCCTTTCTAAATCAGTAGGCACCACATATGTTCTGCCACCTATGTTCTGAAGCTTATGCATAGAAAGGCTCAAAGATCTAAGAACAAAATCACTAAGATCAGAAAGCATCTTACATTCTTAGATTTGGAAGGGAAAGATTTATTTCTGATCCCTAAGGTAATTAATTCCTTAAAAGAGCAAAAAGCTTAGACCATCTATGGGCAGCTTGAACTAAATTTGAATATAAACATCTCTCCAGTCTAAAGAGACATCAAGCTTCTGATACATTCTGAGCTTCCTGGATTACTATTTTCTGAAAGTATTTTTAATATCTGCAATTTAGGCATTACGAAGTTATTTTCAATTCAGTCATATCAAAACACATTCTGATGTAAATTTATTTTTATTTCTATGAAACTGAAAGTTTCATTTGTGCTCTGTAGGAACCTGTACTTTTTGTGCAGTATTTGTACAGCTGTTAAGACATGGTTGCTGGCAGTAACCTGGGCTCCCAGTGCTGCAGTCATTCAGATAAATAACACAAACACACATCCACAGATAAAGTTAGCTACCTTTTCTCATGACAACACTTAGTACTAAGAAATAAAACAGCTGCATTACAAAATGAAACCGATGAAAGTTTGGTCCAAAATAAACTAAATTATGTCCTGATTCAAACATTTCACGGGTGGGTGGTGTTCGGACGTTTGATCTGCTGGCAGATCTGAACGCAGGGGCTGCACTGGTATTTCAGTTTCTTACCTTATCATAGAGGGGAATCATGAAATACCCATTGATGGGAGCACAATCTGTCTGGTACTTGAGAGTGCCATGTTTTGTATATAACTTAATCTATAAGAAACAAAAAGACAAAAAATATATTTTTAAAATATAAGCAAAGCAGGAACCACGCATCCTCTAACCAAGTGCTTTTACGCAGCAGCACCCGCGTGTCCCCAGAGGAATTGGGGGTGGTTCACTGCTGGAAGGCTGCGGTCTGCCAGGCGAAGCTGGCAGAGTTCAGTCCCGGGCTG